GAATAATAAGTTTAACAAGAAATTTGTAAAAAAAAAATTCTTGTATAGAAAAGCTAATTTTTGTGAAATCATATTACAATTAGATGGCTTGGCTCAGCTTAAGGTTAATTAGTTTATAAGTGGCTTGGCTCTGGTTGCAGAGCCGAAGGATCAGCTCAGCATAGTAAATGTTAGCCGTGAGCCAAGCCAAGCTGAGCTATTCACATCACTAGCTATCATATAGTACCATTAAAGATTACTACTACTTCCAACTCGGGACTTCCCAAATGGGCTTCCTGTATAGTGAAGAACAGTTTCCCAGATTTACATGACCATAGACTTATCAAGTGTTTGCACCACCCAAAACCGGTTTGTATTCCTTTGTAGTTTCCAGAGTTTTTTCCCAGTTGTACAAATGCTAGCGGATTTTCCAAAATCACTTCTTGGTGCAACTCGAGTTACAAATCCTCAATTCAAAATCTAACTATCTTATACAGGTTACTATACTACAGGTTTATTTTTCAAAATCGTCATCTATAGGATTCGAACTCTAGACCTGCTACTTGAAGAGGATAACAACTAGACTACTTCATTAAGCCGCCACATCTTATTAATTTTTTTCTAATTCTTAGACTTAAATTATATTAGCTCTTAGGTTTAAGTATTGCTTTGAATATAAGAGTTTAATTTTTTTTATTTTTAGTATTAGTTTTTAGATTTAAGTATTGTTTTAAATAAGATTTTAATTTTTTGTAATTTTTTTTATTTTATATACAATTAATTAAATAATGATACTTTTAAATTTATATACAAATTAATTAATTAATAAAATACTTTTAAAATTATATACAAATTATTTTATATATCTCTCAGTACAGGTCAAAAAATCAAAAACGAACAAGAGATGCAAGCCCTGGATAGTACTGAAAGATCAAGATTCAACAGCTCCGGTAATCGGTCGTGCTTTAGATGCTAACGGTGAAGATACATACTTTGAACACTGGCTAACAGAGCTCAGTCACAACACAGGGTTACTGTACCGATGTACTGGATGTAGTGTAAATATAGCAAATGAAACAAATCAATGTGTAGGCAAGAAGTCTATAACACAAAACCTTCGTCAAGTTAAAAGTATTGTTAAGAAAGAGAACAAATAGTCTATGCTAATCTCTGCACCCTGGTTTTTCACACCTACTGTCTTTGAGCAAGGTATAAAAGAGAGATTTGTAGAGCTGCAGCCAATCGAAAACATAGACATCACCTTCATTAAAAGTTAGCACTTTAAACCAAAAGTCGAAAAGTTGTTAATTGAAAATGTAAATCTCAACTTACAAAAAAGAACCAAAAACCTGGTGTTCTTTATGGATGGATCCTTGATACGTCCAAATGATGAATCTGCAAGTATTGATTTAATAGAAGCAGGGTGGATACAAATATATATAGAACAACCTGAAATAGAAGTCACCAGAGGTAGTATAAGGATGGAAAAGTGGCCTTTATCATTGAGACCCGAACTAGCAGCGATCTGGTGTGCGTTATTAACAACATGCTTAGGAAGTATAGTTGAAATTAATACAGATAGTATGGTTGCAATTTATAGTATCCAGAAAGCATTAGAAAATAGAAGTTTTAGAATATCGAGCAAATTAAAGAATTACCTAATCGTAGATAAGATAGTAGAAACAATTCAGTTTAAAGGGCTCAAAATAGTATTAAACAAGGTTAAAGCACATAGTGGTATTAAGTAGAACGAAATAGCAGACAAGCTAGTGAAAGAAGGTGTGATCTTAGACGAAGACTGGTCAATTGGTGAATTTTTCGGATCTAGATGGCCTTTTGGTGTAAGGTGGCAAGACAAGCAAGTAGACTCCCCAATTAGATCTTTTATACTTCAAGTTACTGGTATAAAAACTAAAAGCAGCTAGTATATGCAAAAGAAGTCACATCTTCATGACGAAAACAAAAAAGCAGAAGACTTGGTTTGGAGTAATTGTTGGGGAAGATTTAAAGAGTACAGAGACATGAGATGCAACTCAACAGAAAAAAGTCTTAGATTAGTGTGGTATGTCAAAAATTTGTCACAAACGCTCCCAACGAAAAGTGTTCTATACAAGAGAAGTTCCTCTGTGTATCTGGATCCTATTTGCATCCTGTGTGAAGATAATAAGGAGGAAAATGCAGATTACCTCATGCAGTGTTAGGCGTTAAATGAAACATGTGTGGAAATCGAAAAGTTTAGCATTAGTCTAGCTTGGGCATCAATAGAGGAAGTTTATAGGGTAGCTTTAACAGCTTAAGATTTGTAGAGAGCAGTCCTTGGTTCATCACTAGTTAAGAGAGTCAAGATGCATAGTCTTTTATCAAGAGCCTTTTTAAACACAGCACACTTTCGTGGTTAAGTAGTATTTTAGAGAATGAAGCCGTAGCACTAAAAACTCTAAAAGCAGCTAGCTTTGGTATGCAAGAATGCTTTCATAGATTGGTATGGAGTGATAGATATAGAAAGTTTATTGCATGGGAAAAAGAAAATAATATTGGTGCTGAGAAAAAATGATCAAAAAAAAGTGAAGAAAAGAAAAGGCCTCGTGAAAAGGAGAACATTGCACCTGGTCCAAGTAGTGGCATTGCGAACCAATCTAGGACGAATAAGTGAATAAAAATGATAGGGGTGGATCAATTGGTAGAGTCAAAAGTAAGACATTTGTCAGAGGTTGTGGTAAGACAGAGAATTTTAAGTTCTAACCTACCAAGTTGGTGGACTAAAAAAATTGTAAATATTTGATGGGAGCTGAGCCCAGGCTAGATCATATCTTTAAATGCGTCACAACATATGTAGGATATAGTGGCCAACATCAGTGTGATAGCCAAACTTGGGCATCTCGAAGAGACAGCTGGGTTTTAGTCTAATTAGATTATTAAATAGCTTAGTATTGTATTAAGTAGTAAATATTTAATAAAATTTTAGTACACGGTTATCAAAAAAAAAAAAAAAAAAATAGCATTCGGTTTGTAGTTAAAATAACACCAAGAACCATTATAATAATTGTAGATGTTTCAATTAGACATATTTGATTTACAATATAAAGCAAACTATATATAGTTAAAATATTTATTAATAGTATATTGCGGTTACGTTTTTGCTTTATAAAAATTGACAACTAGATTAGTAATATTAAATTTAACACTATTAATACTAGAGATTATTTTAATTTTAAACAGTTTTTAAATCATCAAAGTCTGAAATAAAATTTTGCTGAAACTGAAAATAGTTTTTGAATAATTAATTTTATAAATATTTGATCGCTTCACCTTAATTTTTATCAAAATTATTAATTGCTTTATTTTTAAATATGAAATTCACTTATTGGCTAATACAACCTTTCATTCTATATTAGTTTTGCATTTATTTGTATTGAAAGTATTGAATAAGTTTTGGAATAATTATTTAAAGAACTAGGATCCTGTATTTTGAGACATTATTTTGAATAATTTTTTTATTCAATTTTTTTTTGAATTTTTAAATTACACAATCAGATTATAATCATGCTATAATGTACTAAACCATTTTTTAACAGATTTAAATCAAATATAAGATCATGTTTAAATATTTCTTACCATACTTTGTATTGAATTTGTACTATACCAAAAATAGTTAGTTGATTCAGAAGATAATTATAGATTATTGTCAAATTATAACAATAATGATACATTAAGGTAAAACCCATACTAAATTATAATAAAATCTGATTATAAGGTTAGAGTGAAATTTGTATTTTTTACATATTAATATATAGCAAAATTCAATATGGGTTTCACCTTGTTATATAATAATAGATTTCAATTATCTTGTTTCGTTTTATTTTATTTTGTCTCATTACCTTGTGCCAGTAATATATCAATTTTTAACTTATCAAACCAATACTTAATTGTATATTATAATTAGTTAAAGGCCAGCTCATTATTATCCGTATGTGTATAATTACAAAAAATTCAAATATTAATACTAATTAAAAAAAGAACAGTATATGTAAAAATAAATAATTATATACGTACATATAATAAAAATTGCTATATGACTATTTAGAGCCGATTTATGTATATATAAATCCATGTTCCGAATAATTTAAGACAAAAAGAAAATAGTAAATTAAACAAATATTAACTTACATTCAAATTAAATATAAAAAGAGAACAATTATACCTTTAAAATCTAATATTTGTTATAATATATTGAAAATGTCTCTACGAAACTTTACAGATGAAGACTTGTATAATGAAAGATCAAATTCTGATAAAAAAAAAGCTTCATCATTAGATAAAGAATTACATTTATCATCAAATAGAGAGTTATATTCATCATTAAATGAACCTTTCTTAGATAATGAAGCTTTATTAAATAATATACCTTTAAATAAAGAATCATCTGCTCAAAGTATCAAAAGAAAAAATAGTAATTTATAAACTTATAGCACTAAAAAAAAGTCTAGACCTGGAAAAAGTTGGGTATAGAGATATATGAAGAAAAACAAAATTGATAAAAAAATTAAATATAATGTATGGATCAATAATAATAATAATAAGAAAAAAAAAAGTACAAGTAGTTTTGAACTTACAACCAGTACAACAAATCTAGCCTCTTATTTTTGAACTGAACATAGATTAGATAAAAATGGATCTTTATTGCTACTATGTGGTATACAAAGTATAACACAATCACAACTTGTTCAATCAGATTTATTACAATATACATTACCGGAATTGTTTAGCCGTAAAATACCATTGTTAGAAAAAAAAACAAAACAGAATTACCTCTCGAATATTAGCTTGGATAATCGATAATATGCAACCTTTTAATGTTTTAAAAAATGACTGGTTTCATGATCTTCTATATGAAGCAGAGTTACAATATCGATTTCTAGGTGAAGATACATTTAAACAAAAAATGTATGAGGCAATAAGCTATACTAAAAATAGTTTAAAAACTTTGATTGACAATATATTAGAATCATTTGCATTCATTACAGATCTATGGACCCAGGATCACAAACCATACATTGGAATTACAGCCCACTAGCTCTCTTCAAAATTTCAAATGCATAAAGCTTTACTTATAATTGAAAGTTTTTCTTATCCACATACTTCAGAACATATCGAGGATTGTTTAAGAAAAAAGTTGGCTAAATGGAATTTAAGTAATAAATGTATTGCAGGTGCAACAGATAATGCTAGCTCAATAGTAAAGGCATTAAAAGATATTGAGATTTTACATATAAGATGTGCAGCCCATACCATTCAGCTTGGAATTATAGATGGCTTGAAACATGCTACTGACTTGGTTGACCGTGCAAAGACTTTAAATGCATTTATTGCTGGAAAAGATAGGTTTAGAGAAAGGTTACGATTAGTACAGTTTGAAATAACTAAAGAAAAAAACCCTTCACTTAGTGATAGAGATATTTCAGTTTTAGATCTAATTTCCAATAATACTGTAACCAGATGGAGTTCAGTTTATTTATTATTAGAACGTTACTCTTTCTTTATGAAGCTATCAAAAGACTGCAAGAAGATCTTGCAAAAGATAAAGAAAAAAATATTAGAAATAATACCAAAATTTTAGAAAACTTGCTTCTAAATGAAGAAGAATTGACAGGAATTCAAGAGTTGGTTGATTTGCTAGGTCCCTTTGTACATGTTACAACCATAATAGGCGGAGACTATTATCCTACCTTTTCAATGATGTTACTATTAATTAAAAGATTACAAGAACATTTGTTTCGTAAAGAAACAACACTTAAGCATTCAATTATCCGTGATGTACATGATAAGATTGAACTTTCATTTAGAAATCGCTGGGACGAACCAGAAGTAGAAGGATATATTGCTGCAATTCTAGATCTAAGATTCAAGAATTTAAGCTTAGAATCAATAAAAAATGAATTAAAATGCAGAATTGAAAATGAAAAAAATAAATATTTGACAACATTTCCTATTAAAAATACTCCTTCTTCTTTATTAAATTCACTTTTTGAAAAAACTTCTCAACAAGTTTGTCTGATTGAAGCTAAATTAAAGATGTATTTTGATATGCCCTTAATGATAAAATATGATCTTTCCGATCCTCTTTATGAAAAACACAACCCATTAACTTTTTGGCAAAATAATAAACTAATACTTCCATTAATAGCACAGCAAGCATGAAGGTATTTAGCAATTCCAGGAACTTCAGTCTCATCAGAGCACCTTTTTTCTGATGCTAGAAATGTTATAACTAATAAGCGAAATCATCTTCATTTTAACACGGTTCATGATCTACTTTTTCTAAAGGAAAACCAACACTCTTTTAATCCATATCCTGATTTAAACTAGTATAAAAAAGAGGTAGTTTAATAAACAGCATAGTAAAAGTAAAAGTAACAAAAAATATTAGTTTATATATTTATCAAAAATTTAGAATTTGACGAACATTAATAAAATAATAAAGATTAAATAACTGATCTTGTACGTAGTTTCTCTGAATTATATCTTGGTTTGTTAAAGATTATACAATTAAATAAAGTTCATATATTAATTTATATAGTAGTATCCACGTGCTTATAACTTGTCAGCTAAGCCAGCTAAGCCGATCAAAATTTATTGACTTAGCCTAGCTGATAAATTTTGATTAGCCAGAAACACTAACCAAAGATAGCATTATTGAAAACCCAAAGCACTAGAGGCAATATTTTTGAAGACCTAAATGACTCTATTAAAGATTAAACAACACTATTGAAGGCTCAAAGCACCAAAAACGATACTATTGAGGACCCAATGTACCAAAATACATCAGAGACGACACAATAGAAGACCCAAAGCACCAGAGATGATATTATTGAAGGCCCAAAGAATTAAAAATGACACTATTGAAGATCTGGGCACCAGAGACGACACTATTAAAGACCAAAATATCAGAAATAATATCCAAAACACTGGAAGTAACATTATTGAAGATTAAAAACACCAGAGACAATATTATTGAAGACTCAAAGCACTAGAGACAACATTATTGGAGGCCCAAAACATTACAGATGACATTATTGAAGGCCTAAAGCACCATAAATGACATTATTGAAGACACAAAACTTCAAAGGCGACACTATTGAAAATTCAATGTGCCAGAGACAATACTATTAAAGACCCAAGACACTAAAAACGACAGTATTGACTCAAAGCACCGGAGATGACATTATTGAAGATCCAGAACACCTATTGAAGACCCAAAGCACCAGAGACAACATTATTAAAGATCTGTGAAACAACATTAACAAATACTCAAAGCACCAAAGATAATATTAATAAATACCCAAAATACTAGAGATGACGCTATTGAAGATTCAAAATACTAGAGATGATGCTATTGAAAGCCCAAAGTACCGATATTAATGAAGACCCAAAGCGCCAGAAATGACACTTTCGATAGTCAAAGTACCAGAACCGACATTATCGAAGGTCTAAAGAACCAAAGATGACATTATTGAAAACCTAAAAAATCAAAGCACCAAAGATGAAGATCCAAAGCACCAGAGACAATATAATTAATTTTATTTCCTCAAATTTGACGTAATTACAGATATAGTAACCTATGGAAAAAAAAGTATTCATAAATTAATTTTAAATATTTTTAAATTCAAAAATTAGAAAGTATCCTTTATAGTTTAATGCGAATAAAAAAAAAAAATTAAATAATAAATTCATAACTTGAATTGCTTATTTTAGATACTTACATAACAACAAATTACACAATTAATCATAATAACCATTAAGGGTCTAACTAGTTGTTATTTCAGCAATAATAACATCAAATCCATAGATATTTGTTTCCTATATAAAATTTTGGGAGTAATAGGACAGACAAGAAACCAAAAATATCACCTTCTGAAATACACACATCTTTCTTTCTATATGATTCTAGAACTGCATATAAGATTATATATTTTTATTAGTGTATTGGGTTTGCAAAATATTACCATTATGAAATCAGCAAAAATATGTTCTGTATAGCCGTAAATACTATCTACTCGATGTGAAATATCTTTAAGCATTTGTAGTTTAGTTTTCCATGTGAGTTTACTAAAATTCTCAAATATTTTTGAAACTCTATTATTAGTATTCTGAAATACCACCAAAGTTTAATCATGAATTAGTTCAATAAACTGTTAGATAGGCTATACAAAAGGAATAAATTAGCTTACTTTAAAAAATCAAAATTGTTTTCTTAGAATTAGCTAATGACTTGAATATACCCTTATTTTTAGAATTTTTAAGCCAAAATTCTCTAAACCATCAATACTTCTATCTGTTGACTCTTGAATGTTATTGAGACCAAATACCAAGCGCCATTCTTTAAATTTAAATATGATCTTTATTTATTAAAGCCCAATTCTCTTGTGTTTAGTGTGAAGTTGTAATTAATTCATAATACTGATCTCTTTCAGGATTGTATATACATATGTATGTATTATAATATATACATTTCAGATTTTATCAGGTTCAATGTACATATGTATGTATTTATTGTTTTTTTTTTTTTTTGGAGGCGAGACTTATAAACGAATAACGATAATGGTTCAATCCCTTATAAAATAGGTAATATGCACATAATACAAAACAAAATGTAACAAATAATAAACCAATTTATAAACACCTAAATATTGTACATATTACAATAGAGTTTCAAAGCAAAGCAAAGCAAAATTTATTAACTACTGTATTTCTGTATTTAGCAAAATACATTACTCAACTACTATCTTGATATATTTATATATTAATTACTTTTCTGTTGAAATATCAATCAAAATAAGTTGTAAAATATCAAATCCATTCAATACAATCTTCCACAGATACTGCATCAAATGCGTCATCAATTCTACTTAGAATGGTTTCACAATCTCTAAATTGATTTTCTGCTACAAGGCCCTTAACTTTAAAGAAAATATTTTCAATTAGATTCAAAAACAGGGAGTAGGGAGAAAGAAAGAAAATTTCATAAAGTGAATCTTCAACTATGTTCTGTACAATATAAGCACAATGAATAGGAGCATTATCCATTACTAATAATTTTTTAGTATCTGCAGGAATCAAAGAAATAAGATCTTCAATGAATTTTGAAAAAATATTAGCATTAGCCAATTCCAAATATGAGCTACATTTCAAAACTCTATCTTTTGTGATTGCTGCAATAACCGTAATATTCTTTCATATCTGTGTTTCTACTACTCTAATGGCAGGTTGTCCCCGAATTGCATGACCACGAGAAGAAGATAAGTGCAAATTAAATCCAGTTTCGTCAATATAAATTGCTTCATACATATCAATGCTTTCTTCATAAATTTTTTTAACATATTTTTCTCTTTCCATTATAGTTCCAGGGGTATTACATTTGTGGGAAATAACTGTTAACTGTTTTAAGGTAAATCCAATTTTGTTAACATATTTTCTAACTATATCTTTACTAATCTAAAATAGAAAATATAGACATAATGATAAAAATTATATATGCATTTTTATATATATATGTATATATTAAAAAAAATAGAATTATCGTTATACATACGCTTAATTTAGGAAATTTATCAGTCAATTTCTTAGTCAAATCTGCAATAGTTATGCTTGGATCTTCATCAATACATTCGCTCAAGAAATTTTTATGTTCAGCAGTTAAAATTGATCGTTTGTCTCCACCTTTTGGATTAAGAATAATTTGATCTTCTTCATTAAACCGCTTCAATAGAATTATTTTTATTATTGACTTCATCAATAATTTGTTTTCTTTGGTTTGATAAAAGTTGTTGATATTTATGATTTTTAGATAATGAGGGCATAACAAATTCAGTATTCGATACAACAAAAATATCAAATCTCTAACTTGATTAGTATCTAATATATAAAGTAAAAGAGGGTATTATGACGCAGTTAACGTTAAACGGCGATATCACGTGATCTAGTGATCAGAATTGAATGATTTTAATACCATTCGATTCGTCTCATCATGACAAATCGAATGATATCAAAATCGTTCGATTCTGATCACTAGATCACGAGTTATTGCAAATTAAATCAAATGCTAAAAAATCAATAAATTTAGATGCATGTACCAATTATG